GCTCAAGGTCTGGATCCGCCACTGAATATAATGGGCTTTCTTACACCTGGTTGAATAATTGCAATTGCCTGAAGATTACGTATATGAGAGGTGCGGAGGCTTTGCAAATGTTCTTCACCTGAGCAACAGAATGAAAAATGCACACCAGCCGCTAAATCGAATGAAACCATTTTCATTCATTTTGTAAGGTAACCGACGTACGATAACTGCAGGAGCATGCCTGCCATATACAGGACGTCAGAAATGAGATTTATTTGCAATTTATGTATCATTAAATACAGCAGTTAGAATACAAAAGTTTACCAACAGACATTTGTCTCGATGGTATTCACAGCGTATTTTTGAAGCGAGATGAATAAAGACAACTCAATAAGGTGTAAGAGGTCCCGCTGAGAAAGGTTTTAAAGCTTTCAGTTTTAAGTCCTTTTCATGACTTTATGAATCATTGTTGCAGCTCTGATAAGCTACGAGACAGAGATTCCCTGCACTGCCTCTTGCCGAGCCGAAGAGAAGGGAATAGAATCTCTACCTCTCAGGGTTCAGCTCTAATCCTGATCAGAATAAATGTATCAAAAGTTTTATTATTAAATAGTGTTACAAAGGTTCGAAGTAGAGGACAAATAATAAATTGGTGCCAAGACTTAATTTGACCATCTAGAACCTGCCAAGCTCCAAACACAATATAGGTCCGCTATGCGTACATTTCTGGGCTTAGCTTTTGGCAGCTCGGTGGAGGAGGAGTAGGATGTATTGGAAACAAAGTACTTTTTTTGAGGAAGGATGCTCATTTTCTATTGTTTGTTGTTGTTTTTTTTTTCTTCTTCTTCTTCTTTTTTGTATGTTTGCTTCTTTGCTGGCTACTTTATCTACAATACTTGAGATACCCCGCTTCTCCCACTCAAGCTCAATGTAAACTGAACTGGGTACACATGAGCACTTGTAGAAATCAATTACTAGATCCTAGTGTAACGAGTTTAGGTTAGTTTTAACTTGAACATGGCAGTATATAGTAAAGTGCGCGAGTTGGAATAAGTAAGGTAACCTCTTTATAAAACTCAGGGGCGTATCTAAGGGGAGGGTGCAGGTGGTGCGCACCTCCCTCCCCCCTAAGCTAAAGCCTTCTTCCCCGCATTCGCTTTTGAAATTTGTTTACCTCACCAGTCAATTACGCTATTTCTTAGTGGTGCACCCCTCCTAAGTAAAATCCTGGATCCACCCCTAATAAACTACCTTTGCCTTGCTTAATGAAAG